TGTGTTTGCAGTACACAAGCCACGGTTAAGACAGCTGACTCCACTGTGATGTGACCCTCCCTCTCCCCCTCTCTCTCTCTCTCTCATGCGCACACGCACACACACTCACACACACACGATGCATAGTATTTATTGCACAAATACATACATGTCTAGAAGGTCCACACAATGTGCATCAAATCAAAGATCTTTACTTTACATATTAACGTTTTATGTGAAAACTGCATATAGGGTGGTGGTTTTGAAAACTATGCTGAAAGACAGCTGAAAAACAACAACAGCAAAACTGCTCGACTTTGCTGGTTTCAGATGGTCTCCCAGTCTGGACAGCTGTTGCTCAGCTGCTTTACCCGCTTTCCCAGTCAGACGGTCTGAAACCCCGTTAAAAGAGCCTGATCGGACTGACAGGCCAACTAAAACCAGCAAACCAGTTTAGGCTGGTTTGAGATGGGGGGTTTTTCAGCAAGCTAAGCTCGCATAAATACTCATTCAACGTATTACTCGCTCATGTTTGTATTCTTATGCGTTCGACGAGTGAGTTATTTCATGATTTGTTTCGCCGTTCAAGCCGAGAAACAATTCTTTTTAGAAAGTGCGTCAATGTTTACCGGCGTTTTTTTTTCTCTCTTCCTCTCTGTCTGTACCGGCCGGCAAACCATGGAGACACACCTCCTAAACTCGAGAAAAAAATCATTCCGACGTTTCCCGAGCGACCAATCAGCTGCAGATCTGCGATGGCCGCGTGCCTAAATGGAATGTTTATGTACGCCGAGAGCCAATCAGAATCAATGAGGGGCGGGGCAGAGCGAATCTCGCCTGGCTGCACGCGCAGGATAGAGTGGGCGTGGCGTCGGGCTCGGCGAGAGAGAAAAGCAAAACAATCATTTTTATCCCCTTTTACCGGCTGCTTTTAGGGTCCGTAGTGAAATACACTCTCGGCAGGGAGTCGTAGTCCACACAATACTGTTAAATGCATCTTATCCCGCTCAGCACTAAAATCGACCGAAAGCTGATTTTGCTTTAGTTACATTTGATCCAGGTTGAGAATGACTTCCAAGCGGCTCCTCGAGCAGCCTCGAGCCGAACAGCTTGTAACACTCCAAAGAGAAAGGAAAACTTGAAATTGCATCATATGACCCCTTTAAAGGTGACATTTGTAATCTGTGCCACTTGCAAATACAACAGCTGTTTTCAAGTAGGTTGGTCTGCCCTGGATGACAGTCATTATTTTAGAATAATTTGATCACTGAATGCCACAAATGACCAATCAGAATCAAGCCTTCCAGAGATTTGTCCAGTATTTTTAAATGATTAATTTTTAATATTAATTTACATTTTATGTATTTATATTTACATGAATGTTTGTATTCTTATGCGTTCGACGAGTGAGTTATTTCATGATTTGTTTCGCCGTTCAAGCCGAGAAACAATTCTTTTTAGAAAGTGCGTCAATGTTTACCGGCGTTTTTTTTTCTCTCTTCCTGTCTGTACCGGCCGGCAAACCATGGAGACACACCTCCTAAACTCGAGAAAAAAATCATTCCGACGTTTCCCGAGCGACCAATCAGCTGCAGATCTGCGATGGCCGCGTGCCTAAATGGAATGTTTATGTACGCCGAGAGCCAATCAGAATCAATGAGGGGCGGGGCAGAGCGAATCTCGCCTGGCTGCACGCGCAGGATAGAGTGGGCGTGGCGTCGGGCTCGGCGAGAGAGAAAAGCAAAACAATCATTTTTATCCCCTTTTACCGGCTGCTTTTAGGGTCCGTAGTGAAATACACTCTCGGCAGGGAGTCGTAGTCCACACAATACTGTTAAATGCATCTTATCCCGCTCAGCACTAAAATCGACCGAAAGCTGATTTTGCTTTAGTTACATTTGATCCAGGTTGAGAATGACTTCCAAGCGGCTCCTCGAGCAGCCTCGAGCCGGCGACGGCACGCATGAGGGGGGCGAGCCTGTCACTGGAAAAGCGTTTAAAACAAACGCTCTGCATGAAGGTGCTTTAAGGAACTTTGGCAAGGAAATCTCTCCAAATGGACATTATTATACCGCAACGAGAGAGAGGCACTACATTCATAAGAAAGTAAGTGATGCATGCTCGTTTATGTTGTGCATATGCTCACCTTTTGGGTTTTTGACAGTTCGCTGCGTTTATAAACATGTCAAATCGACAGTTACGGTGCAGTTGTACGATGGCAGCTCTGCTTTTCGATGAAAACTCAAGTTTGCATGGAGAAATAGTTTGTGGAGTGAATGCATTTAATCTCATTTAATCGTTGCAGTCATACTGTTGTCTGCGTTAATGTAGCGAGGCGGTAACTGTCTTGCACGTAGTAAGATGGCGACTTAACTTGCATGTTCAAAGTTTAAACGAAAACAAAACACACCCCTCCCCCATAGAGCCTCTAACGCGAGCTGAAGCCGGTGGAAAGGTTTGTTTTCACAGGAACACCGTTTAGTTTTTCCTCTCAGCGGCGAGTGATGGCTTTCGATGATATTTACTGATTAAAAACGAGTGTTTCCATGTGCAACTTACGTTGTGGTTTGGAAAAAAGTTATATTATTATGTTAACAGTTGGTGTATGCATCGTATATGGATGAAGTGACCATATGCGTCGTTCATTTCTTTCAAAAACACGAGCGTTCACTTTAGAAGTGCGTTTAATTTGGCTGGCTGTGTAGCGTGCAGGAGTGCGCGACACGCCCCCTCCTCCATGATGACGCTCGCAGAATAAAGTATCTGGTCTGATGTGAACATGCACTTGACCGATACGAGCTGTGCAGTCAACTCAACGAAACACTGCCTGTAATGCAGCTCATGCATGATTGCAGTGTTTTGGGGCGTGAGTGTATTTTATTAAATCCCATTTAAGCTATCAGGAAGTATAACATATGTGATTTTTTAGGATTGCTGGTGTTTTTCTTTAATAAAAGTGCTTGGTATCAGAGGTATGCAGTTCAATTGAGTAATAACTCATTATTTAATATTGCACATCAGGAATGGGGAGGCTACTGGTAGACAGTTACATTACCAACTGATAGGATGCTTCATTAATTGAAAAATAAATGTCAAATGTAATCTTCGCCCCTAGTTTTTGGATAAAGAGCAATCAGTATTGAAGTTTTGTTGCTTTTAGTCCATGTCTGTTAGCTTTGAGCATAAATAATTTTTTGCATACAACAGTGGCTTAATAGAAAATGGGAATAGTGATATATTAAATTAATCACGATTCATTTTGTGATTCCAAAAGTCTCAAAATCTGCATGTCTGTCAAGAAAAAAACAACAGTTATTGAGGGGTGAAATATGATTTCAGTTTACATATATATTGTATGCATTTCAATTTAGATCAGAGCTAGATTATTATGATATATTACTAATAATTTATTAATTTAAATGGTTTTGAGTCATCTTGCGGCCCCCTTGGAAGTTTGCTGAGACTCCCTGCCATAGATCATCCCTGTTTTCACTTTGATTTTAGTTCAGTTTTTAGTAATTTTGTTGTGTGTTTTTGTCATTTTTAAACAAATGTATAGTTTTTTATAAATGTTTATTTATAAGTTTTAGTTTATTTAGTTTTAGTTATTTTATTTAAGTTAAACTAAACAAATATGAGAAATAGTTCTTTGGCAACTAGCAGAAATAAATTAATAAGTTATAAAATAAATCATTTTGTTTTTGTTTTTTTCACGTTTATTTTGTCAAGTAACAGAACTGTTTTTTTATGGCTTTAGTTTTACTTAACTACAATAACCCTGGCTTAAGATCCACTATCTTAAGTGCATTTAAAATGCACAGTCTTTCCTTTCCAGGAAAATGGATCAAAATTATTGATGACTCTTCTTGGACTATCCAAAGTTTTAAATGTTCTCCAGAAAGAGAATGTCCCTAGTACCACCTAGTAGATTCACATTTGGCTTTTTTAAGAGGGGACAGGCCCTTCAACATGTCCTGTTTCAACTTTCTGTTTTAAGAGGTCAACATGGAGAGAAAATTATGCTTGTCAAACATAGTCTTTAACAACCTAAACACCCATCATAAATAATATAACCAAAATAATATTACTATGCTATTGCTAACAATTACTAACAGAATTGAATTGGTTCATTTCCTTTGGACACATGTCGTAACTGGTAAACCTTTTGTTCCCAGTTTGCATGTGGCAGAGAGGAGGATGAACAGAGCTCAGGTGGGGTCCTTAAACATGGCTGCCCTGCTCATCGCCTGATCCTGAATGGCATCAGGCTACAAGACCAAACCCACATGGAGGCTTGGAGCCCAGTGAGAGGGCCTGGGGAGCCAGGATGTCACCTGCCATCTCCAGAGACACCGCACCCGCACACGTCCTCCATCATCCCCGTCCCACATGACAGGTCAGTTCTGATAGTTGTCTCTGAACTCATCCCATCACTACAGAGGGAACTGCGTACTCTGACACCGATTGGGTGATATAGTAATTATATTCATGCATGTATAGCATTCAGTGTGTGTTGTATGCAAAATACACTACTAGTCAAAAGTTTGGGCACTTTTACTAAGTTTGTTTTTCATGAACTTTTAAACAGTTTAATCTATAGTTTTTTTTTCTTAAACTCATTCCCAGATTGTACCTTGTGAAGTTAGTAAATAACTTTAAATTTTTTGGTCACTTCATCCTTTCAAAATTTTTAATTGTGTTTTTTAGTAGTTTTCTATTATTTCAAAAAGTGGACAGATGCAGCAGTTGGATTCTGGAAGTAAAAACTCGCTTCATCTTCTCCATAGTGAAACTGATTTTTAGCAATAACTCATATGAGACAGACCTACTGTGAATTCCACAGTTGTTAATTGATGGTATATGCTTTTGTTGAAGCCATTCATTTGCATTATTTGTGTTTAACAGCTGAATTTGTGGTGAAAAACTACATTACCCATAATGCTGGACAGAAATTCCACCAATCAGAGAGTCTTGATGAGCAGAAGCTCTGCAGGGAAAAACTATGCTGTCAATACACTTAAATATTAGTATACTGTATATATAAGCACATTTTGCAATAAACTTCAAATATATTTTCTATAGGTATAATCAACAACCTTTAAATGAATCATTTTATATTTGTCCATCATTCTTAAATTGATTGTTATTTGCAATGCTTCATGGGATTGTAGTTCTTTCCCTCAGTAAGCTGTTAATTACACAGTCTTGTACCTTTGTCTTTTTATTTCATTTTCAATTGCATTTTTGTTTCAGATGAAAGTTTGAAATGTTGTGTTTTACCTTTAGTTTATGGTAACACTTTGTTCGGGCCAATTGGTCAGTGTTTATGCGACCTTCATTTTTGGCGTGTTTATGAGGAATGTCTGATCAAATGTAGCATTCTGTCTCTGTTTCTGTCATTTTCACTGTTTATCTGCTGTTTTCTTTTCCGTTTTTTGTCTTTCATACTCTCATTCCCATCATTTTTTTCTTTCTTAAAGGGTCATGAAACTCCAGACTACTTTTTCTGAGATTTTAGCAGAGGTGTTTGTGTTGCACATCATAGAAGACAATGTTAGCATCCGATAATTTTAACTGTTGGAGAAAACTGGTTAATTTTAAGTTTTTTTTGCGCTATTTTCATCTTCCGGGTTTAAAGTCTACATCATGTTGACGTCACGATTAGAGATGCACCGATTGCAATTTTCTTGGCCAATTCCGATTTCCGATTTTTCATTAGTGTGATCTGCCGATACCGATTTTTGCCGATTCCGATTTTCTAAGAACTATAATTGACCGCATATACAAACAAAAATCTACTTTTCTTCAACGCAAAGTTTTATTTTCATAAAAAAACACAAGTAAAAAGTCATAATAATAAGTACAAAAAGTAATAAAATAAGAACAAATACAAAAATGACAAACAACAGCACAAATAAATGCAATAGAATAAACAGAGCTATGAAACTAAGTTTTTGAGGTTAAGTAAGTTTTTATTTTAATTTTTTTTGTCTTCAGACGTTTTAGCGCAGTTAGCCACTCATTTTGGTATTTGTGGCTCACAAGCTGTTTGAGACTGAGCGCGGATTGTGCGCTCCACTAATATAGATCAGTGGTGGCGCGCGCGCTTTTGGTAGAAGCGCGAAACCTGTGGGAATGACTATAAAGCGCAATACAAGCATTTAACCGGAGCGAATGAGACGTGTGTGAGAGAGAAGGGGTCGTCGGAGAGAAGAGAGCGAGAATGCGCGGCTGACGTTATTGCCTGTGCCGCTGGTAACAAAACGGATCGGCTTGAAATCGGAAAGAAGGGAGACAGACTGACTGATCACCAATCCGGGCCGATCATGAGGAAAATTGGCCGATTCCGATCCCTGGCCGTTCGATCGGTGCATCTCTAGTCACAATTTGTGACGTGGCAAAGGACTATAGTACATCGATGACGAGTCGGTGTCTATTAAATTATTCATGAGACTGCGTGTTCTTATCCTATGAGAAGACGCTTCGCTTAATTATTCACAACAGCATGTGTTGATTTGCTATGACAGATGTTTCAGACTGTGAGATCGCGTACATTAACTGAGAGAAACGTTCATGGATCGGAGGAAGGAAAGCATTTGTTTTTGCTTTGTAATAAGAGTTTGGCACAAACGCGATTCATTCACTTGGTGAGCATAACCGTTTATAAACGCAGCAGAATAAGTCTAAAAAGTTCTCAGGTGCCAACAGTACGTTCATATATATGTTTTCGATGCAGAGTGCAAATGGCTGTGCATTTATTTGTGTTTTTAACTCGATGGGAGCGAAATGAAACTGTCTGAACGCAAGGCTGTGTGTGTTGTCTGTCTCTCCTCTTCCTCCTCTGCTCCGCTGTGCACCACGCCCACTTTTTTAGCCTTTTTTAAAACTGTAGTAAGAACTAACCAGTGCTGAAACAGGGGGTTTCATGACCCTTTAAATCAAATTCATCACAAATACATCTAATAACACTGTCATCATTTACTCATCCTCATGTGAGTGAAAACCAAGAGAGTCAAGCAAACGATTCAAAATTTTGTGTTCAAAAGAAAGTCAAACAGGATTTTTGGGTGAACTATGCCGTTCAAGGACACATTACCAATCCAGACCAGGTTGATTATTAAAGGGGACTGAAGTATGGGGCCGAAAGGTGTTTAAGAGACATGTAATCTGTTTTTGTATGTGCACAAACCATCATCAGCATTGTTAAATAGGTCAGTTTTGAATTGATGTGGGTGCGTGGGATGCTTTTCAGAGTGGGAATTGACAATGTATTTGTGTGTGTTTAACTAAATATGCTGATATAGCAAGTTCAGTCAAATTACTTTGACTTTATATTTAGAATAAGGCTTTTATAATGCTCACTGAATTTATGACTTCGCACTCAGTACATGTTCATATAATCTTTTCTGAGCAAGTTTCCTGAACACTCCCCCTGTCTGCCATTGGTTACCTAAACAGATAGCCCCGCCCCAAACGTACGCTATTGGTTGAGCTGTTGCTGTGTCAGACTGGTCAAGATAGTTAAACAAACAGAGCAATGTTTTGATAGCACCACAAACCCTGCATATTAAACTAGAATAGAAGTACATTCAAATAAAAAAGGATACTTGTTAGCTTTAATTTACAATTTTTATTTAAAAAAAATTAGTTTAAAGGGATTTATTGTGCCACTTATTATTCTGTCAATAGAAAGTATTGCAGCAATAACTGTGAAGCTACAGTTGTGGCTTTGTGTTTCTACATCATCAATGTGGCCTAGATTTTAAATGATACCTGGATCTCATACTCCCTAAGGGTTTGTAAATTTATGTAAAACTCTCAGATACGCAGGCAAATGGCTTGTCCCTTCACTGCAGTGTTACAGTGAGAAAAGCTGATGTTTGTCAGATAAATTCAACACAAGCTCTACCTGTCGTATTTTATGACCACTCCATAACTCTTTTATTCACCTGCGGCGCTCTTTTTCCTGCTATACATCTGTCACATTGCCATTTTTTATGCGTGTTTATATGTGCTTGACAAGTATCTCAAGGTTTTGTGGTCCAAAGAAGAAATTACTGTGCATAACAGTACAATTATTATATGTATATTAATATGAAATGTTCAGTGCATTGTCTACAATGGTTTTAATTTAGCAAACAACAGAGAAAAAGAATTAAGAACAAAAAGAGGTAAAAAGTGCCACTTATCTATCAATATCATGCATTAATAAGAATAATAACAAAGGCTTTTGCTTGTAAAATTATACAAAACACTACAGCAAAGCAGAATCATTAATGAAATATAATATATTGGTTATGGAGCCAGTTCTTTCGTTTTATGTATGAGGAACTTCAATTTTTTGGCCATTGAAATAAATCTCTATTAGTTACACCCAGTTGTAAATTGTTATAGGCTCTGTTGTATTGTACACAGAGTGCAGTCACTATGCATTGTACTCATGCTAAGTAATTTTTTTTTAGAGTGCAGAAACTGCAACACCTTTTTGCAAATGTGATGCCATTCAGACTAGTACTTGAAGAATTAGACGCAGTTGACATTTAGTCCTGCCTTTAGATTCTCGGTCAGACATGCAAGATTGCATTTGAAATGAGTGGGAGAAATTATGCCTGATGAACCTTGCATGACCGTATGTGGTGCACTAAGCAAATCCTTCAATAATTTCGAGTGTTTGCACTTACATGTCAAGTCAAGTCAAGTCACCTTTATTTATATAGCGCTTTTAACAATACAGATTGTGTCAAAGCAACTGAACAGCATTAATTAGGAAAATAGTGTGTCAATAATGCAAAATGACAATAGTAAACACAAATTTTTCAGTTAAAGACAGTTGAACGTGTTCAGGAGATAAGGACTGGCGACCATACACTTCTTGAGTAGCTCTGCACACATTAGTCTTTCATTGACATGTCCAGGCTTGCCTGACAAATCAGTAAAAAGTCACTGCTTTACACAGTGGCTGATAGGTCACACTGGCAGCAAGTCTATGCTTGAATCTATTCTTCTCTTATCAGCATTCATCTAAAGTAAACTCAACTGAGAGACAAAAGCCAAGGTGGAAGGTAGAAAGTCCAGCAGGTTGAAGCCCTCGCTTTTTGAGTTTGTCTTGTATCTGCTTGTGCAAGCCTTTGAAATAATCTTCAATAAAAAGGTGAAGTCAGCAAAATTGAGGTTTCATATGAACAAGTCCAGTCATGTGGTCATCTTGATCTTACGGCATTCAGAAAGAACAATGCTTCATAAACTTCCTTTACGTCCGTTATTGCATAATTCCTTTATGGCAGAAGAAACTCACAATTTGCATACTCTCTGTCCTCTATCAGGCACAAGTCTTGAGTTTGTTGAAAATAATGTGATGCTGCTATACTTTTTCTTGTGGGTTTTAAAGTATGAATCATTATAGTCTTCAATCTGTATATGGAAGGAATTCATAGAAAAAGGGGCTGCAAAACGATTAATCGCGATTAATCTCATTCAAAATAAAAGTGTGTTTACGTACTATATGTGTGTGTATGTGTATATTTATTATGTATATATAAATACACACAAATATATGTATATATTTTAAGAAATATATTTATACTTGTATATAATTTATATAAATATCAATATTTTATATATAAACCTAACATATTTTCCTTAATATATACATGTATGTGTGTGTATTTATATATACATAATAAATATGCACAGTACACAAACACATATAGTATGTAAACAGACTTTTATTTTGTATCCGATTAATCACGATTAATCGTTTGCAGCCCTAAAATGTTGAAGGATGCCACAGTACTGTATCCTATCAGACATTTTTTCCTTGACTAATTATTGGATTGGACAAAATTATACAAAATTGGATCGAAAAGATGCTAAATTAACTACATTTCTATTTCTGAGGTGATAGGCTGGATGCATCTGACAATACATATGAATATTGTTTCACATGCTATTTTTATATACTACCCTTCAAAAGTAAAAGTCAGTAAGATTTCTTTTAAAGAAATGTATACTTTTATTCATCAAAGATGCATTAAATTGATCAAAAGTGACAATAGATTTGTAATGTTACAAAAAAAATTATATTTCAAATAAATGTAGTTCTTTTAAACTTTCAATTCATCAAAGAATGCTGAACAAAAACAAATTTTATTCTTTATTTCGCATTGTGTCAAGTATACTTGGACTGAAGACAGAGCGCAATTGAGAGTTGTGTTTTTATGTGAATTATGATTATTTCTTTCTTTATAAATAGTTAAACTGACTTGCGGTGTGTTTACAGAAGAGGTTACAGCATCCAG